ACATTTAAAAAAAAAATTCAAGTTATTGAACACACCCATCCATTTACACATTCCCAGGCATGTTTATTTTTGGAAAATGATATTCTGCTATAGAGAAATCTCACTACTTTCCCCACTATGGGAAAAAACGACTGATACTTTAGTTGATGGGACAGTTGCTAAATAATAAAAATTTGCTGATACTGATACAAATCAATAAAAAGCAAGAGCAACAATTCTGCAACACAACTCAAAATTAATTACCAACTTATATACTATTTTTCTGAAACTACAAGAATTCTAACTATGCTTTCAAGTACAAGTGAAGGAGGACTCTTGACAGGTCCCAAGTATGTAAGAGTCTGATAACCAGGGGCCGGGGAGATGGCTCAGTGGAATAAGTGCTTCCTTGGCAAGCACAAGGGCCTGAGTTCAATCCCCAGTTCTGCCAAAAAAAGTTTGATAACCAGACCTTGCCATGGAAAGCTGAATGAGTGTCAATAGTGCATACAATGCTGCATACTCATTAAACCCATTGATTTCCTTCTGCACGCAGATAGCTAACCCCTATTCCATAACTGACTGCAATGGGATCGGGCCATATTTGAGCTTTTGAAAAAGGAATATAGGGAGATATAATGCACACCACTGCCAGGCCTGGCACAAAGCAATGTTCCAGCTTACACACTGTTTTTTCTTCCCTCTCATACTGATTTTGGAAACCATGTGATAAAAGATGGCACTACCATAAGCCTGGTCCCCAAAAGACTGCCTGGAGCTTAATGACATGGACCAGAGAACCAACTTTTTCCATCTCTATCTCCATCTTCATAACTGCTTTGTGATGAGTGAACAATAAATTTTTAGTGGAATAAATCACTGAGATGGTAGAGTTGCTTATTTCAGCCAATACACTATGCTAATATGGGGTTCTTACAGACTCCAGAAATATGCTACAGTTATAAATATTGAATTGTAGTAATCCTTTAACATTTTAACAAGGTTTAGTTGCATAAAAATATGCATATATTCAGCTTATAGGAGAGGTATTCTTTTATCAAGAAAGATCTTCGTAGCCCAAACTGGGCTGGAAGCAGAAGGCCAGCAGAATAAAATAGTATCCCAGGACACTGGTCTACTTACCTGTGTTTATTTATTCAAAATTTCTAACACCTACTGTCTACCAAGCATCCTGGTAGAAAGTAAGGACAAAAAGATGAATGATATGCTTATGCAGGCTCTAGCCTCAAACTGTCATGGTTGGGGGAAAAGTGACTTAGTCATTAAGTGAACAACATGATGCTCACAGATGATGTAAGATTTACAGAGGCTTGGTAGCACAATGGATAGCACACTGGACTTCTAAGATTTACAGAGAAAATGCTACAGCTCAGGATCACCGCTACTCCGTAGAAAAGCAAGAAAGGCTTCAGAGAAGCAGAGACATATTAAAAGGAAACATACTATGAATCAGTAATCTCACAAAAAAAAAAAGAGTGCTTCAAAGAGTCCTACTCTTTGTTGAAGTAACCCAAGATAAAGCCTATTTTCCTCTTACCATTTTCTATGAGGATATGGGAACTATTTCAAGAACAGAAGAAAAAAAAAGTTTAATGACTTTAAATGTGATTTGTTTTTCTCGGTGGACTTTACCTACAAAAACACACAAAAAAATTCTACTATTTCTAACAAAATGCCCTGTGGTACATTTAAAATTTTTTGGCATAAAGAAAATTCTCCAGTTTTAATCACATGCATCATTCTAAGAGCGGAATAGTACAGTTCTTATGGACCTGCAATCACAGGTAAACAAATTAACTTACCAAACACAAAAATCCAGTTTTGCAAGTGCATATTTTATCTTTTACTTTGTTCAATATTCCTACCAGCACTGTTTCCAAGAACCTAAAAAACTCTTATATTAAGAGATCTACTTAGCACAACTGGAAAAATAATTCACAACACATATCGAAGTGATATGAGTGGGTACTAGAAAAGTGCATTTGATTTGGATGTAATGTGACAAATGTATGTCCCAGTAAGTGAGGGACACTACTGAGAGGATGAATAAGAAATCGTAATATTCTATTATGGGAAGAGAACAATACCATGATAATATGCTCCCAAATTCTACCCAAGATAAACATTCTTGCTGAAAATATTAACTATGCTCTTTTTCTAGGTCTATTGACCCTGAATTCATCTTTCTTTTACACTTAATTAGAGCTACTCTTTTACCACACATTTTACATTTACCACAAAGATGGCCTATGACACAAAGTAACTTTCAGAAATTTATACAGAATGTCTTCATATCTAGTGTTTTAGAAACATGCAGGAGAAAAGTTTTAAAAGAAAACTTTATGTAAGTGCAATCTTTTCATACATACAGCATGAAACAGCTCTATTTTTGATAGAAACCCCATTAATATTGAAGTAATCTAAAACAAAGTCTAAATCTATCAAAAGGCCACACTCGCTTTAAAAACCCATGGCTGAGCTGGTGAGATAGCTCAGTGGACTAAGTGTCTGAGGAAGTGCAAGGAGCAAGGTTCAATCCCCAGCACCACATGCTGTACCTCCCCTGTCCCCCAGTGTGCTGAGCTGGCCACCAAGCCCAGGCTTGGTGGCACATGCCTGTAATCCCAGCACTGGGGAGGATGAAAATAGGAGGAGCACTATGAGTATGAGCTGCATAGTGAGACCCTGTACCAAACACATTAAAAAAAGAAAACATGGCAGTCCATGTATAAAAGTCCAAATACAACCCGAATAAAAATTTAAGGATATTTTAAGTTTTCACATGTTGCTTCTGTTTAAAAATATTACTTTCTCCCATTTCTCACTTTCTTGCCTTCATTAAAATTAATTTTGACAACTGTTTCCAAAACCTTCTACAAAAAATAAGTCTAATAAAAGGTGAAGAAGGGAAATATATTTCTATTTATCCAAGTAACATAGGACTTATTGAAACATATGAGGTAAACTATGTGAAATACCAATGTAAACTATTTTAGAACAACACATTGAAACTAAACTCTCTAGTAAAAAATACTGATTCTTGGGGCAGGCCAAATAGCTCAGCAGATTAAAGCACCTGCTTAGGCAGATGCAGGGGCCAGGAGTTTGATCCCTGGGCCTGCCGTGCCAGTCCCGCCCCTGGGGCGCACTGAGCTAGCAACTGAGACTGGGCATGGTGGCACATGCCTATAATCCCAGCACTTGGGAGGCTGTAAACAGGAGGATCACTACAAGTTCAATCTATGCAGTGAGACCCCGCAGACCTTGTCCTTTATAAATACAAAAAAATAAAAAATAAAAAATAAAAAATACTGATTCTGTATGAGAAAATTTTGTTTTTCTGGAGTCTATAAAAAAAGTAAATGATACTTTCTAAAATCAAGCAAATATTCATTTATTGATAAAAGAAAGCAAAATAAACAAACTTCCCTTCACTAATTTAAATTTGTATTTTCTTACATGTCATGGAAAATACACAAACAAGATATAGGAGAGAAAAGCCTAAAAAGTGAGTTAGATATTTTCTTGATTGCTCTACATTTTCTTTCTGTAGTGCAACCAAGAAAGTCCTTTTTAATAAAAAGACATAAAAATGGATAAAACATAATACAGATTCAACTTTACTTACCAAAAATGCTTGGGAACAGTGTTTCAGTTTTTAATGCTTTTTGATTTTGAGAATATTGCTTTTTTTTTTTTTTTTTTGTGGACTGGGGATTGAACTCAGGCCCTTGTGCTTGCCAGGCAAGCACTTATTCTACTGATTTTCAAAGTTGAGTATTCCTATTCTAAAAATTCAAAATCTGAAATGCCCCAAAACCCAAAACTCAAAAAAATTCTATTATTATGAAACCATTAATACTTATGCCAGCATTTCTTAAAAGCATTTCAACTTTTGGATTTTGGTTAAGGACGCTCATGTTGTAGAAGTAGTCATTTACTGGTTCCTCTTTGGGGGCCTCAAATACTGCATACAATATTTCATGTATTATTTATCCTACTGAATCACAGAACTAGGTATTCCCCTCATTTCAAAGATGAAGATACTGAGGTTCATAGAGGTCATCGCACTACTAAGCCAAGATTCCCATTCAGGTCTGTATATAAAGCTTCCACTCCATGGCAAACATTCTACTGTGTACTTCCATAAAGTGCTTAGAATTTCAACAGATTCACTGTATTCTTTGCTTGAGGTTTTCTCAACCAGTTTTCCATCATTCACTTGTGCATCCTCCATAACAGTATTCAAATACTGACAGTTCCAACTTGTAAGGAGTACTATATACGTAGTATATACATATACACATATATGAGAAGTCAGAGTGTGAAAACCCTAATTCTTTATCGTAACAATTATTCTTATGATTATAAATCATCATATAGATCCCTTTGACATACCATACCAAAGTACCCACAGAGTTACTGAATTCCAGTAACATTCACAAATAAGGGGCCGGGGAGATGGCTCAGTGGAATAAGCGCTTCCCTGGCAAGTGCAAGGGCCTGAGTTCAATCCCCGGTTCAAAAAAAAAAAAAATTCACAAACAAAAACTTTTCTAAATAGTCTTTTAGTAAGTATAGTTAATATCTATTATGAAACTTTAAGTACTTAATTGGTCTACTGTTTTCTCCAGATAGCCCAAGAATACCTGAAAAACATATAGAAACAGTTTTCTGATACCTCTGCATTATTCACTCTTGTCATGTTTCATCAAAAGCCATGCTGCTTGTCCTAAAAGTTTTGCAGTTTCTGGCACACAAAGCCAGAATAGACTGGGGGGGGGGGGGTGGGGTGGGATAAGAATCTTCTATTCATCCAGGATGAAAATGTCAATTCAGAAGATACATGTAACACTGTCCGCCTCTATAATTTTAAAAATAAGTTTTTCAAAAATAAAATGAAACAAATTTTAAAATACCTATGTATTTAAAAGGAGTGTTTGACATTTTCATGTACAACACTTTTCCAAATTGTACAGATTTCCCCATAGTAAGCTTACCTTGAAGATGGCATTATATTTGAAGCCCTGAATTTTGTTGTAAATGGATTAGTTGACTCATAATCAAAATAGTCCCGCCGATTTTCACTAAAAGCATTAGGTGATTTCAAGTCACAGGGGCTGTCAGAACCCCCATTGTTCAGTTTATCGGACCTTCTGCTCTCTTTTTTCCCAGTCACTCTTTCAAACAAGCTAACTTTCTCCCTTTTCTCTCTTTTATTTTCTTTTCTTACTTCAACTGATTTTGAAAACAAATTCATGCTACTATCCCATGATTCACTGCTTTCTTCAAATGGATTTTTCTTTCTTGGCAGTGTTGCAAATTTTTGGGGTAATGAAGCAGTCACGTTCGTAAATAGGTCATTTTGTCTTCCAAAAGACAATTCACCTTCATCTACAATGCTGTCAGGTTGGTTCATTTTAGAAGTATCAAAGCTTAATGTTCTTCTGTGAGGAGATTTGAGACTTCCTACAAACAATTTTGTAGTTAGTACATAGTCAATGACACATTACATCACGCTATTTGACACATTATGTGTGCATTCTGCTGGTTTTAGAATGAGCACAATTAGCTCTTTAACGGTATTAACCTTTAAAATAATCAAGGAAAACAACCTTAAAATGGTAAGGTATCACAGTCTGATGTACCTAGGTTAATAACAATTAGACAATTACTGTTAGACAATCACTAATTTATTGGCTCAGGAACCATCACATACACAAATTACAGTATCAAGAATCAATTGGGATAATAATGCTGGAAATTTTAAAGACATTTCTTTGTTATCTATTAACATTACTTACTTTCTTACATCTGAACATAGAGTAATTTTTAGTAACTTTATTAAAAAATGGAATATTCATTTATACTTTCATCTTTCAAGATAAAATAAACAACAGCTAAAAAAGCAAGACCAGGAAAGGAGACTGGGACTCATTATTATTATCTAATAATATAAATACAAATGCAAACAAGCTCTGCCTTCAACAAATATCAATTTGATGTATCATAGATACACAATTAAGATTTAACATATGACTACATTTAGAAAATACAAGAAACTTCATGTTTTATTTTCTAACTTTAGAAATTAAATCTTAAAAACCAGAAAGATATTTCAAATCACTAAAGGTACAACCAGAAAAAAGGAGCCACTTACCACTTTCTGGAACTGCTCCAAAGGAATCTATCTGGCGTCCAAGAAGATGTGTGTGACCTACAGCGCCAGACTTCAGTTTCTCAGAAGATATGTGGGACCCAGTTAAATCAGACATTGAATGTGCAGAAGAGAGTCTCTGAGGACCCAAAAGAAAAGGCTTTTTTGGTTTGGATTTCATCTGTATTTCACCACTTGAAAATTCAGTATTGGCATCAGGCATGTGAGTACTTGGAATGATCGCAGAAGATGTATCAGAAAATGTCCCGTCATTTTTTCTACCTTTCATTTTATCTTTTAATTTTGCAAAAGGAGATCTTGTTTTGTCCTTCATTGATAAGTCAAACATACTTGCTGTCATATTGTTCCTCATAAATTGAATATTGACCTTTATCTCACCCCTGTTTTTGACTCTTTTTCCTTGTTTGGATTCTAATCTAAACCACCTTAAAGAAAAGAAAAAACAGGCTATAACATTAATAAAGAGAGGACGTTATGCTTTGCTATATACAAGTGTCTACATCATTCAAAGCTACTCCTTAAGTAGTCTAAGCACTGAATGAGAACCTACTCACCAGAGTAGTTTCAGCCTCCCTCACTGTTTAACTATAAAAATTGATCACTTTCTGTGATGCGACATATACTACGACATATACTACGGCAAAAGATCTTTGGTGAAGGTGATAAAGTGTTTAAGTAACATTTTCTTTCATACTTGAAAATTACTCAACATCAAAAATTCTCATGAGCAATAGTTAATATGTTTCCATATAGGATAATTATTTCTAATAGCTGATGACATTTTGAACATTAAAAGATAAATGAAGCAAATATTTTAAAGGAATTCAAATTACAGCTATTATAAAATGATACTCATAATATTTTAATAAAATACTTGCCCATCTCAAAAAATTACTTATATAAACGTATTAAAAGAATTTTGTTATCATTGAAGACTACAAGTAGTTTCATAGTTATTAAAGCTTCAAATATTATAATTTAACTTAATCTAAAATGGATCAATATCCAAATATTTCAATGCAAATGGAAAATATGAAGTTTTCAAAAAAAGTTTAAATGCTTCTGTTAGAATCTATTTGCTTCATTTCCTATTGCTACAATGATATTACTTTATAAAGACAAATCTGAAGCTTTCCATCAGTTCAGTGTATGAAACCACCCATTTTTAAATGATGTTTGAGAAACAAAGTTTATTTTGGTTTTGTTTATAGTACTTTTATCCATGAGAAATTCTTCAGCTCTTGGTGTTACAAGTCGTTTTTCTACAGGGCAAAGAGCCCAAAATAACTGCAAAATTGAGTCTAGAAAAGTTTACAATACTTAACAATGCAGCATAATAGCCATTCCTTCAGACAACTTATTAAATACAGCTCTACTTGAGTGTCACAGATTTTCTTAGCTACAAAGGAACTCTCATCCAATTTTACATAGTTCTTTTTCTCATTATTACCAAGATATGCCAAGAAAACACTGCATTTACAATACATCTAGGGGAAGACTGATTCACAGGTCTTTCCAGGAAGGAGAGGGAATGGCCATTTTAACATTTATACCAACTAAATCTCAGCAAGTAACATGCAGGTGAAATGTACTTTATTCATTACACTAGCATGATTAAGGTGTGTAATAGTTATATCAAAACAATTTCTTAGCAGAGAATATTTTATAATTGAAAGTGTAAACCCAGACCTGATATAAGACAAACTGAAAAAACAAGACTAGAAACAGAAAATGACAACATGTGGACTACAGGATCATGAAAGATACAAATCTGAGCATGCAAAATGCCTGGAAATGAAGCAAGGCTATACATTCGGCAATTAACTCATGGTTTTGGAAAACAGCAATTTTCAGCATGGGGAGGGAAGGAACACATTTGACAGATGCTATCGCAGAAATACCGTGTCACATCTCAGGCTACATAGAAACTAGGTGAATACAGTTTGTGAGGAAACAAGCAAACATGAGATTTGTATGTGAATAATAAGGCGAATCTGAAAAGAAAATAAATAATCCCCAAAATGTAAGAGTCAAAATTCATAAATTTTAGACATAAAAATCAAGTGAAATCATCTACTTTAACATCCTTATTTCATAGATGAGGAAATTGAGGCACGGAGGATGATATGTAATTTCCCAACATCAGAGTAAAATCAAATATGGAAAAAAATCTAAAGCTGATGAATAACAGCTGTAGAAAAATAGTTCTTCCTTATTTGACGAACCACATGTGTTAATAAGGTTAACCACATGGCTGCCACATACTACAGGAGACTGTATTTAACCAGGAGGCATGCTAGCCACAGAAGGTGACAATACAAGTTGTCTACTGCCAGAGTAGAAGCTTCTTGAAGGCAGTTTACTGTATACTAAATAAAATGTTTACTCAGTTGTTATTTCCAGAACCAACGGTCTTAAAATTACCAACCTATAACAATGTGCATATAAGTGTTGCACTGCATTGTTTTTCAGTAGGGAACATAAGACACCTAAGTAAGCTTTAAAGAGTAAAATAAATCGTATTTAAATAAAAATAATAGTCTATTTTCCATCCCCCAAAAACCCTGCAAAGTATCCTAACATTCTAAATTAGTGTATTCTAAGAAATACACTAGTTTTATTTGTTTTTATTTTTTAAATAGGCATGACAATTAATTTAGCTGCTTTGTTTTGAAACTGATATAGGAGAGAAGTCTTAATGAGACCTTCAAAAATCATTCCTTAGAGTGTTTATTTTCCCACACTTCAAAAAGATAAAATGAAGACATAGCATTTGGGGCTTACTGGATTAATGCTGATTTTTTTTTCACCTTTGGAGCACTGGAATTAAACTGTTTATGGCCTCTGTTCAATTTTTAGTGGGCACAGGTCCATGTCCCAAAACCACCACACATGTGGGAACTATTCCCAAGCAATTGGTGCTGTGTGGTCAAAAATGGGACAAGACTGGCAGTAAGGGTGCCAGAGGCCAAGAAGCAGGTGCACATAGGAGACCCCCACAAAGTCCTAAAATCTGCATATGGTTGAGTCATGCCTAACTTTGGGGTCTCTGGATTATTTCTTTTCATGGCCATTTTAAAAAAAAATGAACATCACCTACTTATATTCTAAGAAAAAACAGATCAACGAGTACTAATAGTATCAACAATTTACCATTCTGTTATCAAACGTTGTATTATTTCCTTAAATTGTGTGTTACTACCAACCCAAATATCCATTGAAAAGGGAGATATGAGGTCCTCTGTCCACTAAAAGGGCCTGGCTCAGGCCCTTCACCTCTTTTCCTTAAAAGAAAAAAAAGTATTTTCAAGGTGTAAAGCACTTTGCAATATTCCAATTCTCTGCCTTTTGCAACACAAATGGAGGACAAGATGTAAAATACTTTTCTTCAGTTGCAAAGAGTAGAAAGTGTCACACCCAGCAGTTTCTTGGGACTTCTAAATCAGCTGGTAGCCTTCATCACTCACACCAGTTTTCTAAAAAGGGCTTGGGAATAATATGCTGACAAGATTTAGCAATGTGCTGAATATTACAAATCTTTCTTGCAATACACGGGTGGCTCAAGTCTGTCTCTTACTGCGCCACATGCACAACTGTGATAGAAACAAGAAGCTATTACATATATTAAAAATCTAGAAATATTACGAATAGATACCTCACCGAATACATGTTTCCCATTTTTCCACAAAGAAAATGTTAAGGTTTAATGACATATGAAAATCACTTGAATGCACTAATATTACAAGCCCTGTTGATAACATTGTAAGCAGTTCTACCGCTGAGGTTCTAATCCATTTTGTATAAAGACTACAATATTAAAAGCACTACTTACAGCTATGTTTAAAGTAACTGATGCTGCCAAAGATAGGAATGAAGCAAGAAGAAAATTTAAAAGGTTCATTTTCAGATTCTTTCACACTTGGACCTATTTTAACTTGAAAAGTTTAGGCCTCCAAGGCCTGCACTATATTATCCATTAATATTAAACATAGGACAAAATCTGAAGTTACAATATTCTCAAAAGTTTACCTTCAAAACAATTAACATAGTATATACTAAGGGTCACCCCAAACTGACAATCTGAAACGAATTATTTAGTAATTACTCATTTTTTCATTTGAAATTTGATGAATACTGTGCAGGAAACCAAAAGCCACTTTTTAAGTATCAAACAGTTCTGCTATTAAAATCATTTATAAATATGCAACTTAAAAAAAAAACTTTTCTCCTCTTTAAAAATATGTCTCTTCAACTAGTTTAAATTTTTACAATGTTTTCTTCCTGCATGCCTAGTATTTCTCCTCTCACTACCCTTTCACCCTACATATACTGAATTTTTAAAGTCGTGATTCAAAATAAAGCAACAACCTCCCATCAGGAGAAGTCTTCAGGCAGATAAGTACATAAAGAGCAAGAGACAATTGTTTTAAAATACCAAAAATTAACAGGAACTTAACAAAAATTATTATTGTACAATAGCTTGTAAAGGGTACTTTCAGTTATGACTGAAAGAAACACCAAAACTACTCTGGAAATCTGAAGTGCTCTTACAAGCTCAAGGCATTTTTCTCCTACTAATTTAATTGATCTCGATGTTCTTTCAGGCTTTAAAAAAAAATGTAAAGTTAAGGATGGGTGAAAACAGTTTTCAATTTAAGACATACCCAGTGTTCATCTGTATTATGATTTTTCAAATTAAAATATACCTAACTCAAGCTTGAAAGACTGAAAAGGCCCCATTTTCATTGCAGAAGTCATTAAATCGCTTCATCACGAGAACTGAATCATTTTCTGCAATCTTACAGCAGTTAATAAGGTCTAAACATACTAGCTTTGTAAAACTAATTCTGAAGTAATAGCTCCAGCATATTGAAAATGTTAGTTCAAGACTGAGAACATGTGTACGTACTTTTAAAACTTTTCTTTTAACGCCTTTATACTCTATGATGTACTGACCCTGAAAAATGGGTAGGCTAAAATAGGAGCCAACCATATTGTGCTTATAATTCTCAAGTGAAATAGTGACTTTTAAAATTGGTAATATAGCGTTTGACAGCCACAGAGTTCATCATACCTATAAACATTACACTGGAAGATTTAATTTTCTGATTTTCCACATCATGGGAAATTGTAACACTTAAAGAAGATAATTTATACCTCCAGTAGTTCTAGTCAGCCAACACTGTGATCCAGTCCTTTTAAAAAAGTGAAATGTTAATTTTCTTATAATTCGGTGCAAAATATTCGATTATTTAACAGATGTTTACCTCAGACAGAAAGGAGGAATAATGCATCATTAATCACTCCATTTAAAAAAAAAAAGTTTCATCACAAGGGCTATTTTTACTTCAGGCATGCAAACAAGGTGCTTAAAACTGGGTCATATTTCAATCCAAAAACTAGTGCCCCAAGTACACAAATATATTTCCAAGAACAGAAAAACCATAAATAAGGTATAGTTAAGCTCCCCCAATCCAAAACAAATTATATAACTTACTCTGTTTTCCTTCTTTGTTTGTCCTCAAAGATGTCATTGAGATTGATTGCCACCTGCCCTAAAAATTTATCCAGCCCTACCAGGGATCTGTGCATAACTATAAGGAAAAGAATGTATTTCTCTGGATTCCCCTGCATTAGCAATCCAGGCAGCTCAAAGGAGGCCTCTTCCTTCCAGACTGGCTCAAGGGTTTTCTCAGCTACAGAGGTGGAGTACTTTTCCTTGCCCAGCTGAATGATAGTGTATGTGTCATTGGTGCCACTTTTGCCTTTCGGCTTCAGATCTTTGGCTTGGAGCACTGTGACCTGCACGTGGGTGGGGAACCACTTTTGGGCTTGCTCGGACAGCATCGCGCTGCCCTTTCTCTCCGCACCGCGTCCGCACGCGCAGCCGGTGCCCCTCCCGCGGGGACAGCCTAGCTCCTCGAATCACCGCATTCTCGGGGCTTTGCACGGAGCCGGGCCGACTCGGGCGCGCCGACGCGTCCCGGGCTGGTGTCAGAACGCCTCACCGGGGCAGCCTGGGGTCACGGCCGCTCTGGGGATCCCTTTCCTCTGGAGCAGCACAGGGGCCCACATCACCTGGCCGCGCCGTCCAGGCCTCCGCGCGGGCCCCGCGCCTCCTGTCGCCACCTCCGCGCGGCGCGGCGCGGC